TTTCTTTATGAAATTTCAGTCATTGATAAATAGTTTAATTCAGTGTTGCTGAACAACCTAAAAATTACTAGCATAAAATAGTCTTTTACACAAAGATCCACTAGTTCAATCCTGACTTTTTTTGATAAAATGATAAAATTTAAAGATTCAGTTTAATACAGTGCTGTCTTCTGATGTGCTAACGGAGGTAATTTGAAAAACTGCTAATTATGGCATACATGCTTTGAATTTCTAAGTATGGCATTCCCATTTGAATAAAATCTTGATATTAATTTTCTTTTCAGCATACTCTTTGCTTTTATTCTATCTTTGATTTTTCTCATTTCCTACAAATTACTTTTTGAAATAGTTTGAGAGATATGACTTTGAATAGATCTCTGTACACCTATACTTTTGCAGGTTTAAAGAATCCCAGAGGGTTGGGGTTGGGGTTCTTTTATTCTTCAAAATCAACTGGATAATTTTTTTTAAAGGTGATGCAAGTATTTTTATAACACTAAGATATGTAAGTACAAGTAAGAGCTATATGAGGTATATGTGTCTCACACAGGTTTTTTTATACACATATCAAAGACACAAATAACCTCAAATGCAGCCACCATTTTTATGAGAGCAAAACGTGAGGCTGGATTAAATCCACAAAAGAGAGGTGTTGAATGGGCAATCTAAGTATTTATTTCTATCATGAAATAAAGATAACTTGAAAGTTATCTGGTGCAGAAAATTGTGAATCTATTTCCTCTTGTTTGAAAAATGCTAGATTAAATGAGTAAGACATTGAGAATATCTTAGGCCAAATGAGCTTGTGTCACCTAAGTTAGACACATATTTCTGTTCCATTTGTGGGCAAAAGAAATTGATGGGTTTGTTTTATGTTTTATTTTTTCTTGTGTAGCTCTGTGGAACAGTGGTAACACATACTGGAAATGTTAAGGGGTAAGTAAAAAGCTTAAATCAATTCTAGATCTATTACTGCTTTACAACATGAGTGTTCTGTAAGGTCTAAAACCAAAAAAAGTTATTCAGTCGTATTGATATTCATATTAAAATCTATCCCTTTGTTCTGTTTAAATTACATTAAAATTCAGTCCTTATAATTTTTTTCCTGAATTTTTTTTCGTTATTATTTCCAGGCTATATAAATGAGGCTCAAGACTCTTCTGTGGGAATAAATACATCATTATTCTTCCAAGCATATTGGCATTTCCATTCATCTGACAGTTCCTGAGCCACTTGTTTTATGTCAGCTGTACTGTAAATCCCAAATGTACTATTGAATGTTATGCCATAAACTACTGTACAGAATATTTTGTGATCAAGGCACTGCCTCTCAAATACCACTGTTCAAGGCTTGATTAAAATGTTTTTTTGGTTTTTTACTTTTTTACACTGGGCTTTCTACCGTACATCACAGTATATAAATTAATTAGATTAACTGCCTTTGCCTAGCAATTCTCTTAAAATTGTTCAAGTTCTTATCTTAAATTGTTGACTTGTGTTAAATACAGTACATACACGTTTACATACAAATACATTTTGTATACAGAGAATTTTGTATATATGTTTTTCTTAAAACTTCTAAGTGTTTAGTTAAGATTTTAATATTGTATAATACTCTTCACAAATGAATTTACCAGCATGATCAGTGTTGCTATTTGGTGCTCTTGAATGACTACATTGGACTAAATTTGGATTGTAATGGGGTCCACAGTGTCTCTTTGTGTATATGAGAAGCTCAGTTGCAGTTTTGTTTTCTCTCTCTTTTTTTTTTTTTTTTTCTTCTTAATTATTTAATATTTAGTGGGTTTTGCTGTATAGACCTGAAAGGGACTTTTTGGAGAAGTTTGTTTTTAAACTTTGGGTGGGAGGGTTGGGACTGTGTGGGATGCATAATATAGTGAAAAAGCTAAGCTTTCTAGAGTTCAGTAGTACTCAAAAAGAGCATGAGGGGTGTCCTATGTTGGCAATTTTTAGAATGCTTTACGTTCTTTATCTTCCTCTTCTTTCACACCCACTTCTGTAATGTCCTTAATAGTATCACTGTGGCTCTTGGAGGCAGTGATAGTATTTTTGCTAAATAATATTAAACTGATTTACAATATTGAAATTCAGATCTGTTTAGCAATTCGAGTTAATATTTGTACTGTTAGAGTTATTTCCTTGAATTTAGGCATATGGTTGAATTGCTGAATTAATTAACAGCAGACTTTATCAACACGGCCAAAACTATGTTACCAGTGTAAAACCCTCTGGCAGATGAAGTAGTTAATATATTGATCTAAAATAGTACCTCTTCATCTATCAGTATTTTTAACTTTGTTTCAAATAGGGTTCATTGTCGTGAAGTAGAGATAATCCTGTACATCATTATTATAATTTTAAAGAAATGCTGTAAAGTGATACCAGTCTTTAATCCAGAATAACCTTAAATTTTTCATTTTTATGTCGTAAATGGAAACATTTCTAATTGACAGTATGTAGCATATGTGTATATGTAATGTTCAGAACTTCAGATTTTTAAAAGTTTCTATTTTTAATTTGAGGAAATGTTCCCAGCTCATTTAAATAAAAAAGATCTTGCTTAACTACCTTATGTTTGGTTCTCCCTTGTTTTATTGCACAGACATCTCTCAGAAGAGTTGCACAGAATTAAAATCTTATGAGAGTGAATTTCTTTACCCTGATTAAAAATTTTTGCTATATTTGTCTTTTACTTTGGCAGCAGGAAGGACTGTAAGAACTTTGGGTGAGGGAGCTTCCAACTTCTACTAAGAATATGAATTATGCAAGACGGTAGGCTATCCATATAACCTCTTTCTGTATAGCACTGACAGCAGAATTAAACATTTGCTAGTTCTTCAGCTCCCATGGTTCACTGCTGGCATCCTAGCTTACCTTGTAAAAGTAAAATTGTTTTCTGCTGGTATGAGAGACTACAAAATGTTTCATCTGAAGCAGAGGCAGACAGGACTAAAATGTCAGATTAGAATGAGGTAAACACTTGATGTAACACATAAATATATTTGAGTCCAAGCTTTGATATTTCTTCTTATCCTTGTAGTTTATTTTTTCTCATATTTAGACTTGAAAAACTTTGAGAAGACATCTGAAGACGGTATAAATCAACTTTTGAATTTTTTTGGACTCTTCAGCAATTCTAAAATTCTCAGTGCTGTTGTGCATAACAGAGTTATAAACAATACATTTGTTTGTCAAATATTGGGAGATATTTGAGTGCTTGCAGTAGGGATTTGAAAACCTTGAAACTGAGTGTGAGGTGGGTAACAAGATTCTTCTGCCTGGCTGCCTGAAGGGTAAAAAGGCTCCCCAGAAAACAGCAGAAGAGTGAATGGTAAGTCTTAAGTAGGCTTATGCCACTGTTGTCCTAAGACTTGGCTGGAGCCACACCACTGTGCCTTGAAAGAGAGAGGAGGAACTAATGGAAAGAAGCTAGAGATGAGGTCTCTGCTAAAAGTATTATTTAAAATAGCCATGGAGAGAGAACAAAAAGAAAACAAGGTTGTTCTCTCTGTCAAATGGTTTTTAGTCATGGGAACTTGATGGCGCATTGACTGGAAGAACAAGGTTAGATACCCAGAATGGCTGTTCAGGTGGCTGCATCTTCAAGCAGGCAGCTTTCAGGTTATCTGTGCAGCTTTCAGGTTATCTGGGCTGCCACAGCAGCAAGGGACTCTTGTCCCTCTTCTGTTAATGAAGCTTTTGTTGTTATTGATGTTGTTCTGCTTTGCCATCTGTGTTAAAAGGAATGGTTTTGCCTTGGTACTTTGTTTAGCACTACCTAGTGAGTGACTAAATACACAAAATGCTGTTCTGTTCCATTATGTATGGCCAGTCTTAAACCCAGGGTTCCCAGCACCCCCCAATTACTGAAGCATACCTAAACAATCCAATAGCCCTTACCAGGAGCTGGTCAGGTCAGGCTGACTGTAGCATATATGTCTTTGGAAGAAGTGACTAGGGGGTCTTGCTGGCCAGAAAAGTACTGTGGGTTGCCACAGCAGGGGAGGGAATTTTTTCTCATGACCTGAAGGCTAAGTGAGTTAGTGACTTTTCCTTAGTTCTGTTTTTAGTTACTGCAGCAGAAACTGCTAGGACAGTATTCTGCAGGACAAGATTTCTCTTCTCCTGCCTTTTTTTTACAGCATTTTTACAGCTCACTTGTTAATAAACAGGAAAAGATGCGCAAATACCTGTCTGACATGCTCTGTGGTCTGTTCCCTGCTGCTGAGAACTGTGATAAGTTATTCTGTCTTGCTCTGTTGGCTGAAAGTGACTCGTGATGTGAAAATTATGATAAAACTTAAAAATACTGGGTGGTTTTTTACACTGATACTTTTATTTTGCTTAAGCTTTCTTTTCTTATGTACATATTTCTTCTGTGGCTCACAGAATGTGCAGTTGATCCTTCCATGCATCACCACTGCATGTCATTTGTGGACAAAAAGAAGAGCTAAAGTTGCATCCTTACTGTGAAAATCCACAGAAAGCCCATTCCACAAATCAGCTTTTTCACCACTTACACTACATTTTTAATCATTCAGATGCAGAGATTGCACTTTTTTTTTAACTTTGATATGGTCTTACAAGCTCTAGCATGAAGATGGCTATAAAGCAGCTGGAGAATGGAAAATATCTATTAAAAATCAAATATGACATGTTCATCTTGGATAGGAATGTGCTTCTCAGTTATACAACTATAGTTTTGTATTTAACTGCATTTACAAGACTTGTCTTGTTACCTTTTTGGGAGTTCACACTCCCAGGGTTATTCGACACTCCCTCAGGCTATAAATTATGGGCACTTGCCTACTGAAGTGTGATTTATTATTTTTATAAAAATGCCCAACCTTTACATCCCATGTTTTGCTGTAAAGAGGCTTCTTTGTGCACCAAGACTTTAAATTGTGAGCGGCCATTTACTTGCTGCTTTCACTGTTTTGGATTGTGTTGTTCAAGGACCTTGGCTCACTCCTCTCACCATGAAGAGTTTTGCTCTCCTTTTTCTAGTTTTGATCTGTGGCATGGGAGGATTGGGACAGAAGCTGAAGCCAAAGAAAAGAAGCAATGGTGAAGAAATCAAATTTCGGACTAAAACCAAAGATGTTTGCACAATGACCATGAGTGGTGATGATGAGGAGATGAGACTTAGAATTGAATGCAAAAGCCAAGGCATGTCCTACTGGTGTGAATTCACTGGCAAGCCATCAGTCTGTCGTGCTTTCAGAAATAATCCAAAGATTTACTGGAATCAGATCGCCGCGGAGCTCAGAAAGATCCCGCACGCTTGCGAATCCATGGAAGTGTTGAAGACCACCATGTGCCAAAAGGCTCCCCCAGAGGCTCTCATGAGGCAAATAGCTGCTGGTGTGGAGCCAGAAGATCTAGCAAACCAGGAAAAGTCAGTCCAGAAAGCTTCTATTCCTGTGAGAGAAGCGGGGCAAAACTTTGACCCAACCCAACATGGTCAAGGGTCTGAAAATGAAACAGAAGCAATGAAACTGGCACGGGAACATTGCTGGGAATCTCTGCATGGTGTCTGCTCCTACATCATTGGCATCTTTAGGGGTTAAGGATTTGATTCAGGTAAAACTGATCTGGAAGCACAGTAGAATATACTTAAGAGTAATTTTAAAATATAAATTAAAATAAGAGTAGTTGTTTTGATTCGGGGGGTCTCAGGGATGTGAACAGGGAGGTGCTAAGCTCGCTTGCTAAAATGTAACATTACAAGGCCTGTTTTGTGGCTTTTGAGGGGCTGAGCAGCTTAAATTTCTAGTGATCCGTATTGGCTCAGGACTCTCATACAGCCTCCTGCACAGTTTTCAGTATGTACAGAGATGTTTGCCCTATCTGTTATTAATCCTGTAGTATTTCAGTTCTAACTGTTTGAATTGGGCTAAGTTTTGCCTTCTGTCACTCCTTCCCTCTTGTGCTGACTTCTGGATTTATGCCGGGGAAGTAAGATAAATGCATCAGGTCCAGCCAAATGCAGCAGTTAGAACAAACCACATTCAGAGACTGAAGGAATAAAGCTTATTCATTAAAACTGCTGGCTAATAATGAAACATTTTAATCTGAAAAATTAGTTCATAAACCCCTTGCAGAAATGAGTAAACCCAAGTGGACTGTGTTGGTTTGCAAGTCTGTTACTGTAAAATAGGGGATCACATGCAGGCACTTGTTTGGTAAGTCTCAGGTTTTCAGCCAGCATTTAAAAACTCACTGGAGAAGTGATCGGTTTTATACCCTCTTCTGTTCCAGCCTGGAGAGAAAGCCAGGAGCTGGTGAGTGGACCTGGCAAATTTGAAAGAAATAGGAATATATGCAGTGTGAGCTGGCAATTGTTTAGGCTGCTAATGATAATTTCTGCCTAATACAGCAAAGTGACTAATTATTTTCTCTTTTTTTTTGTTTGTTTTGCAGAGCAATGATATTGCAGCTGAAGAAGGGTCCTTTGCTGCATTGTAGTGATTTAGACATAAGAATTTTGGTTTAAAATAAGTAATTTCTATAAATCTTTTAGCTGTTTCATTTTTAAAGAAAAAATGAAAAAAGAAAAGTAACTTCTTAACAGCTCTGAAAAATTCACAAAACTGGAGTGATTGTGCTTAAAGTGTTAGAATTAAATAACCACCCCTAAGCTTGTTACACACCAAGGTGTACTGCATTTATGTAACCAAGGATCTGCTTAACTTTGTGTAGGTTTTTGTGTGTACTGACTTGCTTCAGTTTGTTAGAAATGAACGCTGTTAATGATGATACAGTTAGTACAAACAATAAAAATAAGATTTTTGAAAAGGTACTTGGTGTGCTTTCTTGAAGTTTTAAGTGGTGCTGTTTGTATAACATCACAGTATTTGACACTTGTTTAAGAGATTGGTAGAATGTGTAAGAGAAGTTACAGGTCTGAGTCATTCCTTTCCCACTGTGAACAAGTTTGCATGAATATTAATATTTTCAATGTTATGAGGTTTATATTACAATAATGAGTTTCAGCCAGCAGGAAAAAATAATTGTAGAAATAAGAGAGTAACGTAATAACGCATTTCTGAACATAGCAGATGAAAAGTGTTCAGCAGTGATGCAGCTGCAGAGTTCAGTGTTACCAGGACCTGTTAGTGGTACTATTAATGTTTGGTTTCAGTAGATACTCTGAAAAATAACTGACTTGGCAACTTGGGCACCTGCCTAAATCTTCTCAAAACACAAAACAAGACCTAATGCCTTGTTGTCATATTACAACTCAGTCATGTTCAGATTATTATTTAACAATAATCCATTTTGTTCCCAAGTGAGTTTCACAGCAGGGATGTAACTGGAAATACTTCATACTGTAGAATTTAATAGTGCTCTGTGTTTGCCTTGCAAGGTTTCTGCAAGGTATTGTTCACTGAAGTACTTCTCCAGCTTCACTCACTGATTTGTAATTCTCAGCACACAATTCCAGATTATGACTGTCCAGTCATTAAACTATATGCCTTGTACCAAAAAACTTGAAATAATTTTATTTCTCATAACCTCTTGATATATATGGAAAAGAATAGCAAGTTATGAACACAGGATCAGAGCAAAAGGTTGTATGTACAAGTCAGAAAGATAATTTGAATGCAGATAAAATATGAAAGCTGTATTTTTCTCTGCCATGAATCCAACGTGGCTAATTTTCGCTTGTGATCTCAATTACCATTGTCAGGCTCTTGTGCTCTGAGTAAAAATTGTAGTGGTACACCTACTCACCTAATTTTGTCATAGAAATTAGTATAATTGTCTGATTTGCAAACATGCACGATGCATCAAAGTGATATTTAGGGAACTGTTTGCAATCTCAAGGGGAGGTTGAGGGTTTTCTTGAGGTGTGCTTTTAAATATTTTAAAACTCCTGCTACATATTATGCAAAATCCACTCTGCAGAGTGAGTATTTTGCAGTAGTATCCACAACAGTAGTGACCTCAAAAATGAGACAGTGACTTGCACTGGGAGAAGTCTGGGAAAATTGGTTTCCCACCATACTGTTAGTGGGAGAAAAGAGGAAGTTTCATAGGTTGACCAAAAGAACATTTTCCCCTTAATGCCCTCTTCTCTTTGTGTACACAGTGAGCTCAGGAGGCAGCAGAGCTGTCTGTCGCTTTGTAGAACTCTTGATACAGTCTAAAATTTGTGGCCATTACTAATTCCTGTCAGCAGAGGACAAATGTCAGGCACACCAGCACACTGTTTCCCAGGGAGCTTGTGTCTCATTTCAATAGAGCAGGGCTCTGCTGCAAAGGGGTCCCTGTACTCTGCTGCCTGGAATGACACCTGAAATTTCACTGCTGAAAGCAGAAATCCTTGCACCAAAGGCTCTCCTTTAATGAAATGCCTTTTGTAACATACTCAGGACCACAGTTAAGCACCAAATTTTAGAAAGAGGTGAATGTGATGCATGCCACGGATTGCATTTCATTAGGCAACAATATGCACCCTCATCAAGTCAGGTAAATGTAATGATCTTGCTTTCAAAATGTTTAAAAATTGGATGTTAACTGAAATACCCCTCTTCAATGTAACAGCACTGTGACTGTATTGGCTATATTACCATTTAATTGTGTTTAGCACCAGAAATGTACAGTCATGACATTTCAGTTTCCTTCTGAGTAGGAAAGTGCTATTCATTAATGAAAGGACGAATTGAGAAGTATTTGTGTTGAGTTTAGTGCAATCTTTGGGTACCTCATGAATGAATGAAACCTGCTGTTTCATTCCTTTTAGGTGAACTAGTTAGTCCTGTATATGTAAGTACCTCAGGAAATCCAAGTAGAGGTGGAATTTGTCTTTATTTTCCTGACAGAGGAATAGCAGGCCAAAAGGTTTGTCTGGATTCCCACAAGCAGAGAGACCATTGATACCCAGGTCTGTTTACTTCTGCTGATAATTCAGCGCAGTGTGAGGTGTCCACCTGCCTCAGAATCCTCATGTTTAGGTTTCCATAGAAGCATCACAAGTTCTTGCTACTTTGATAATGGAAGCCTCCAAAGAAAACAAAATGAAGCATCTGGAGAATCTGGTGTATGCAATGATGTGTATTTAGCACACATAATAAGATCCAAACCAGACTGGAGCGAGTCTAAAGGAGAGCTATCAAGATGGTCAGAACTGGAGCACCCTCCTGTGAGAAAAGGCCAAGGGAATAGGGTTTGTTCAGCCCAAAGACTTGGGGAGGGAACCTAACAGCTGACCCTCAATCCATATGATAAAGCTATGGGGAATACAGAGCCAGGCTTTTCACTGATGTGTGTGATAGGAGAAGAGATTCTGGTCAAAAATTGATAGAGGTGAGATTCTAAGTGAAAGGAAAAACATTAAGGAGGATAAACACAGAAACTGATTCCTCAGAGCAGCTTTGCAATCTCCATCTGCGGAGCTTTTCAACTGGACAAAGTTTAAAGCAAGATTTTCTGAATTGATGACAGCTATGCAGTAGTGCACTCTGGTGTTTTCTGAGAGAATTGTTTCGGTGTGTTCTCTGGCCATTCTTGCATTGTATGCAGCATTATGTTTTGCATTCTTGATTTTTCAGTAGGTGTCACAGTTAATATGGCATGGATTTTAGGGACAGATATCTCTCACAAAAGGACAAAGGAAAAACTAAAATTTCCCCAAAATTTTCCATTGCTATTCCTGCTTCTGTAGAAGCTTTATGGTTTTCACTTTCTGGTTTTCTGTTCCTCTTACTGTTGCTTTTTCCAGTCTCTGCTTGCTTCTTGGAAGTGGGATCAGGCACAGCACAGGAGATTTTTTTGAGTTTTCTGCTTTTCCCCTTACAAATGAGTCTGTTCTAAACAGACTTCACAGATCATTTTACAGTGACTAAAAGTATGTGGTACATACATAGAAGTGGTATATACAAGAACAGGAGTAAGAACTCAAAGTGGAGGAGGTGCAGTCAGTAGATGACACTGGTGTTATCTCATGGTCACCTTGCTCACTTTCACACCTTGAATACAAATTAAACTGCTTGAATGGTAGGCAGGAGGCCAGGTCTGGATTTCCAGAGTAGCTGTGCTACTGTATGTACAGAGCAAGAATAAAATCAAGCATATGTCTGATTTGGAGTGGAAGCTCATGTTCTCCACTGCCCTTCTCAGCAGGTTATAAACTGTGTGTACAGGCAGCCCTCCCGTGGTGGCTCCTGCTGCGGCTCGCAGTGACTGTAGTCAGGAAGGGAAACAGAGGTGTCCTTTTAGATTCTGCTGCCTGCAGACATAAAAAGCCCTGCACTGTTGTCATGACTGCTGTGGCCCGTAAAAATTAATGTGCTGGTGGTGACATTGGTTGCCCCTTATTTGTCTTACTGGTGTAACATGAGGGCACTCTAACAAATGCAGCTGTAATAAAGTGAAGAATGTGCCTAGGGACTAGGCTAGAAGCTTCATGACGAAGGAAATGGTGAGCAAAATTCAGGCTCTGACCTCTCTATTTCCTCTGCTAAGCAGCCCAGCAGGAGGGCAGGAGTGCTGCCCCATCCTCCCCTCTCACCCCACTCCAAGGCATGTGCAGACAATGTGGGTGCTCTCACCGAGATACTGAGATGCCCCCCTGTTTTTTATACTCCAGAACTTTACCATGGGCATGCACAAATGTGTGTTTGCAGCTGGGAAAGGTTATCAGATGCCCTGGGAATAATTTGGTCAGTGTGGGAAGGTGACAGGAGTAAGGACCATGGAGGAGGGTTTCCACATCTGTGTGCAGAAAACACCTGAGCCTGCCATGGCTGTTTGGTGCCTCAGATGGCACAAATGAAGCTGA